ATTATTATTATTATTATTATTATTATTATTATTATTATTTAATTTTAAAAAAATTTGGTTCTAAAGTAGATCCCACAATTGAAGATCAGAAAACTGCTCCTCTGTCAGTTTGTAAGGTCTATAGTGTATCCCTAAGGAAATAGCAGAATTATTCTGATCCATCCAAACTGGACAGAAATATATCCAAATTTTTCGAACCTCATAATGATATGTAAAAGAAGTATATTGGGCTTCGTTAATCAATATGTCATTTCTTCCTCTTACACCATGAACGCATAACTCCATTTCAAGAAGTACAAAATGCAAAAGAAAAGAAAGAAAACTAACTAGGCTTTTTCTTTTCAAAAAAATTTATACATGGAGGGAACTTTGTAGAACTAAGGTTACAATAATGCCTATCTAATTTAGTTGGTTGGTGTATTGACAGTATCTTAAAAGGTGTGTCTAATTTTATTGATGTCTCAAAAGGTGTATCAAATTTGCACCATCCAACTAAAACAAAAAGTAAAGAACGTTGCAAACTAACATCTACAAACAAGGTTACCGTCTTGAATAGACCCCATATTTTTTTTCCTACAATAATACATGGGGTAAACTGCAAACAATGCTAGCAATAATGGACTACCATAGCATCCTTAACTGCCTTAATTTCTGTTGAAACATGATATTTTGCTTGCTACAAAATCCAAAACCCACAAAGTGCAAAACATTTCACCTTATCCATCCTCTATTTAGTCAATTTTTCCTGGGCTTTTGTCTAGGAATCACTTCACATTTTTTAATCTCTCAAAACAAAAAATGCAAACCTTCTTCTATGAAGAGTCTAAAAATAATCATTCTCAAAATTTCCTCCAACTGAAGTGAATAATGGCAACAAACCATGGTTTGCATTCAATAAACCATCTTATTATGGGCAACTACAACATTTAGACTAGTCCAAACCATGGTTTCCTAATCTAGCACCATGGTGCTGGTGCTGGCTCTGGCATTGGCCATGGATTGGAGCTCGTGCTGGGGTTGGGATTGGAGCCATTGAATCATAGACAGTGATCTTGAGTTTTTGGCCACTTTCACAGTGATACCCAGATGAGCATATGTACCATTTGTTTCCGGGGGGTAGCCAAGGCAATTGTGTCAGCTCCCATGGTCAAAATCCCATTGTTTGGCTCCTCTTGTCACTTTGGAAGCGCTTGCCATCATCAACCTTCACAACACTGCACTGTCCGTGATAGTTGAATGCTGCAAGAGTGTAAGAGAGAAGTATGATTTCAATGTTTGCAGAGAAAGCCACTTGAAAAGAAGAATGAGGTTCATGACCATATAAAAAGATGTTGGATTTTGGTTTTGAGGTTATTCCGAGAGGTTATGTGGCACTAATGTAAAGATTCAGCAAACAAAATATGTCTCATTTCTGTAAGGGAAGAAACTATCGAATTCTCTTACTGAGTATTGTGTAGGGTGCTCAGACCGGCCACCGGCGATCATACTTATCAATGGATAGTGAAGATGAGCCTTTGTCATGTTTTGTGGAGGAACCATTCCTCATCACCACCATCGGTTGATAAGTAAGTACAATTCAATTGGTGCTTGTTCTGACTACCTTACACTATACCCCAGTAGGAGTATAGTGTGAAACCATGTAACAAATGTTGAGGCCTTGCAGCATGTGTGTGTATGTGTATTGAGCGAGGATGTCATTTCGTTCACATGGTGTACATGTAGGCAGCCATTGGTTAACCCCAAGGCAACAGCAACTCATATACTGAGTATATTATTCTGGTGCTCATATCTAAGATCCATCATCTATTGCTTCTATAGATGGTGAATTTGAGTAGCAGTTACCACAAAAAAAAAACTAGATGATCAAAGTAGTAACAAACAGCTCATCACCAACCGTCTTAGTATAGGTCTGAGTAACCGTTTTTATGCACGAACCTATTTACTTTCTAAAATGGGGTCTAAAACATAGGCTTCCAAAGAATTAGAGATTCCGATTTCTATATCAAACAAAATTAAAGAACATGAAATAAAATAAATGGTTGCAAAAAAATGTGATGGAAATTACTTATAGCGTCCACAACAAAGCTAACACATACGATCAACCCAATCCTCAAAGCTAACACATACAATCGACCCCATCTCATCCCCAACAATATAATCAGTAGCAACAGCAATAGCTGGGAAAAAGGTAATGGCAATGGCAATGGCAATGGCAATGAACAGGATGAACTTTTGGGCCATGGTTTATGGTCTTTTAGGGTTCCTTAGGCTCTCTTAATTGCCCTATTCTTAACCTCTTCGTGTTAGAGCCCCTCTATGTAGTGCAAGGGACCACACACAAACAACTTCCTCTTAGGCCTTAAATTTAAAGAGAGATTTACGGCGGCCGTGGCGGATAAGTTGATGTGTGTTTTGCCTTATGGCCGTCTTTGCGTTGATGCTTAATGGCTTTATAATTAATTAATGAAAGAGAGGGATCACACAATTGTCTAGTTGTATTGTCACAAAATTGTTTTCATTAGGACTTGGTCAATCCCAATGCCGCCGTACGACAATAATTCTATGCTGTGATCCTCACTTGGTGACAGGTTCTAGGGGAGAGGAAGAGAAAGTGTGTTGGAAAAGTGTAAGAAAAATGATTGGTGTTCCTGCAGGAGCACAATGTAGACTTGCTCTCCCAAGAGAAAAACTACTTAATGGTAGTACTATTGGGACCCAAATTTTGAGGCTGTGACATAATCACTCTAGTGACAGACCAAGAGTTAAAGATTCACCAGAGAATGTCTTAAAAGATCAAGTGCAAATATTGAACATAGACTGTCTGTTTTTTCGACAATCAAATCCAATTGTTTCGAAACGGAAATCATTTTCGAAACTATCCACTAGTTGTGTTCAGGGTGACTCGAAAAATTTAAAAACAAACAATTCCTCTGAAGTGGGTCTTTTGCCACAGGAAGTAGGTGTACAATTTGCTTCAGAGAGTGTCCGATACAACGCCTAACAACCATGGCCAATAGGTTTATCACCATCAATCCATTAGTTGAAAATGATAGAAAAAATATGGGCATATAATCACCTAATTGAATTGTGTGGTCGGAATAACTCTCTCAATCACCATCCAACTCATTGGTGGCTAGTGATAACCTCACAGTCATATGTGATGACCATATTGATCATACTACAAGGGCTCCTATATACATCTGCAAGGAAGCTGCACCAAGGGAAGTATTCATATACATCTGCATGGAAGCTGCACCAAGGGAAATATTCATAGTTGATATCTGACGGCTAGAGAGTATGCGTTTTTCCCTATGATTACATCACACCATTCATTGTACATGAACCTTTTGATGACTGTTTGCATTGCAAGTTATATTAAGATATATAAAAATGATTACATGCTTAGATTAAAAAAAAAAAGAACAGGATGATCTATATGATCATGATAATAACATAACCATGTGGATGTCCAATAAATATGTTGGACGGTGATGGAGGAAAAGTGGATGCATAAGCGCATTATTGTACCTTTTTATGAACCACTCCCTTGATGATGTGGTAAGGGAATTAGGGATTCTTTTCTTTTCTTTTTTTCTTTTTTTCTTTTTTCTTTATCCAAACGCACACCAGCGTAAGGGAATTAGGGTTTCTTTTCTTTTCTTCTTTTCATTTTTCTTCTTCCAAATGCACCCCAGCATGTACAAGACTACAAGTGGATTGATGTACTCTTTTATTGATCTGAAATTGCGTAATCAACTTCAAAATCACAAATGAGTGTTTCTAGAAAGAAAAATAAAAAAGAAGAATTAGACTTCGAGCGATTTAATGTTACTTTTTTTTAACATATATTGTGTGGGGAAAAAAAAATTCTTCTTTCTGAAAGTTGTTTGATAGAGTGCATATGACTTTTATCTTTTCCTTTTTTATGTTGTTTGCTAGGTGGAGTAGTTACATCGCAAAAAGTGTGATACTACAAAGTTACATCTCAAAAATTGGCATACTACAAACACTATGCTAGATGGGATTTTGCTTATGGGAGTGAATATGCCACATGCTCCCGAGGGACTATGTAATTATTTCCCTATGTAAACCATTATTTATAACATTAAAAACACATTTATTCATGGTATATTTTAGAAGAAAAGCTAAAAGGAAAATGGTTTGACAGCGCTGCAAAACTATCAAAATAAGTAAAGCCTCACCTCATACCTTATTGAATATTATAATTCAAGTATTGAAAAAACATTTACATCGATCATCTCGTCTTGAACATTGTGTTTCTAAAAATTAAGATTTGAAGCTCTAAAAATAGTGTATATTGCAACAAATTCTCTAGGCTATCCATTTCGCCCCAAAAATAAGTGTTCATAGATCCACAAGATTCCTACCTTTTCTTGAGTTTCAAAATTTATTGTTGGTGTTGAAAATTAATTTTAAAGCCATCATGGAGATTTCCATTGCCAAAAGTGCTTTGAAATCTTGAAACAAGTTCTAGAACATCTATTTTCAAGATTTTCAAGTGTTTGTAGATTTGTTTGATTTGCACTATTTTTTAAATTTCAAATTTAAAATAAATATTTTAAGGTGTCCGACATCAGAAGTATATCTCCAAATAAATTTTGGAGGTGTACCTTACTTCTATAGTATAAGGAATATGCCTTATACAAACCGCACCCTTGATTAAATGCTTAGTTGCATAAAGTAGTCCAATGTTCTATATGGGCCCATAATTAAGCTTCTCATCCCCTCCCTCTAAATTTCATCTTAAAATGGATTTTGGATACAAATTTTTAAGGATAAAAATCTTAACTATGAGACTCATAAATATGAAAAATTAGTTAAAATTTGAAACTTAAAATGCTACATTTTTAAATTTAAAAAAAAAATTCGCATCATTTTTAAAAAAAAAATATAGTTGGATCTCCTTCTTCTGCCATCTATTTTAATGATGGACGATGTGTGTCCCCTGAAGCATTAAATGCTTTTCCGATATGTGAATTATGTCATCTCCAAGTTTCCGAATACTTCAAGCCTCTTTAGTGACTTGCCAATTTAACCAACTTTTCCTTTTGAACACTTTAACATCTCAGAGTCTCTAATATCTCACAGCTAAAAAATGGAAATGTGTACCATCAGACTGTTTATTTTTTTGATAAAAAGATTGCAAGCACTCTTAACCGTTAAATGTGAAAACTAGTGGCTCAGTTATACCTTAACCGAAGTCCAAATTTTTTTCTTTTATACAGATTTTATATATGGGATATTTGCGGCTTTTGTGTATAAAAGGTAACGGTCTCACAATATACATTCTCAAACTTTTTAATAAAAAACTTTATACTTCAAGGAATCGGGTTGGAGCATTGGTAGTTAGGGGGTCTGATACCTCAACATAACGTCTCACCCTCTGTTCCCACCACCATTGCAAAAAATAAAACGATTCCTAACTTAAGCAAATAATAACAATAAATAGCAATCAAATATGATTTATCAATTCAAACCCTTCCACACTAAAGCCTTTAAACTAGGCAACAATAACAATAATTCAAAATTATCCTCTCACTAGACCATTTTATTATCCACAACAACAATAACCAATTCAAATGCTCTTCTCACTCAACACTCTCATTCTCCTCACCATGGACCTAACCATGGTCCGTGGTATGTTGTTTTAGTACCAAGGAGCTGGAGCTGGTGCTGGCTCTGGCATTGGCCATGGCATTGGCTCTAGTGCTGGGCTTGGGGCCATTGATTCATACACAGTGATTTTAAGTTTTTGGCCACTTTCACAATGATACCCTACTGAGCAAATGTACCATTTGTTTCCGGGGGTAGCCAAGGTAATTTTGTCAGCTCCTGAGGTCAAAGTCCCATTGTTTGGCTCCTCCTGGCATTTTTTGAAGCCACTCCCATCAACCTTCACAACATTGTGCTGTCCTTGGGGATAGTTGAATGCTGCAAGGATGTTAGCAAAATGTGGCATGTCAATATTGCTACAAAAAGGAGACAAAGGATAAAATATGAGGTCCTTTTAACCTATAAAAATGTGTTAACTATTAAAGTGTTTACTTCAAAATAATAAATTATTTGAATATATTTTAGTCGAGTACACGATGCTCGTGAGTTGTGAAATCACCCATGATATTTTTTTAAATTCTTTAATATAAGCGAACTTTTATGAAATTTTGAAAAAGCAATTTAATATCTACATGAATATATTACATTTAACAAAAGTTTTATAGTAATATAATGCAACAATCTTCAAAAACCTTGCTATGGCATATATTAGTGAATTTGGCCCTTGTGATTAATTATAAATGCCAAAGGTGAAGTATCTCTAACTCATATGAACCCTGGGTCGGCTTAACGATTTTTTAATTACTGCTTTTGAAAACACTTTAATAAAACTTAAATTGAGGTTTTCATAAAGAAAGGATCCCTTAATTCTCTAATAAGAAAAAGAAAGAGCAAATGATGATATATAATGTCATAAAACTTACTTATGGTATCTCCAACCAAAAACATTTTGCCTTCAGCCCAATCCTCATAGCTAACACCTGTGCTCCACCCCATCTCATCTCCAACAATATAATCCTCAGCAAAAACAATAGCTTGAAAAATGGCAAAGGCAACAAAGAGGGCTAGCTTTTGGGCCATGGTTTATAGCCTTTTAGGGTTCTTTAAGCTTTATTTCAATTGCCCTATTTGTTGAATATTGGTGTTCGAACCCCTTTATATAGTGCAAAGTCTTACACTTTCACACAAAAGACACGAGAGTAATTGAGTGGCAAAACAATGGGAATTTTTTTACGGGTGGCCGTCCCCAGGGCGGATAAGTTGATGTTGTTACGTTACCGAATGGCCGTCTTTGTATTATTGCCGTACTTGGGAGTATTTTGTGTAAAAAAAAGGCGAAGCTTTTTATGTTTTTTCTACGACATAAAACTTATATACCCCTTATCCAACCATTCATTCTGAATGGAGGCCTAAGATTGTCTCAATCACAATGTCACGTGTTTGCACTATTTTATTTATCATATTTTTTCTACAAACTCTTTTAACACAAAATTTTATACATCCAATCCTCTATTAAACTTGCACTAGCGAAAAATATATTTTCAATAAAATAAAATAACCAAAATACCCCTAAAAGTTTCAAGGGATATTTTGGTCATTATATTTTATCGAAAAATTATTTTTAATATTGTTTATAGGTGTGCCCTAATGAGAAAATGGCACGTACCGAATTTCACATTCATACAATTTTTTAAAAAAAAATTAAAAATAAAATATTTTAAGACGTCAGACTTAAGATCATATGGTGAGTGGCTCTCTTGATCAAAATTGGATGGTTGGATGGTAGGAAAAGCATAAACCTTCTATGTTGTAGCGGAAGTATAAAAACCTTTCCCATAAAAAAAATGTTAAATAAAATCCAACCAAGAAAACGTTCAGGGTAATTATCAAAATATTTTTAAAAAAAATAATCAAACATGCTTAAATTTTTTTAAATCTACCTCCATACTCACTCACTTTTTTTTTTTTCTTTTTTTTTTTCTTTATAATACTCTTCATCATTCTATTAAAACTGTGATGCTCCACGAACCCCTTGATAGCCACAATCCTAAAGGACCATCACGGTTTTAACAAAATTGTGATGGTCCTACCGGAGTGTCATAGAGTAATCACGATTCTAATAGACCTATTGTGGTACAAGCATTGTCTCTTTATCTTCATCACTGCACATTTTTTTCGGTTGATTTTCATCGGGGCACTATGTTTCGTGATACTTCATTATGGTAAAAGTACCTCATAAGAGCCATCACATCCCTATTAGTGTCGTGATGCTTATTACGGCATTGCGAGTAAACCCGCCAGCTAGGTGCGCTCCCGAAGCCCTGTCATGATACTCACTAACAGCGTTTTAAAAAACGCCGAGTCGAACCGGACTCGCCCGGTTCGACTCGGAAATAGTGAAAAAGGAACCGGATCGTCCAAAAATTGGAAATCGTCCGGTTCTAGAG